GCCAAGGATTTAAAACAGAGTAACAGAATTAAGCTCCAAAGGCTTAAAAACCCTTGAGCACTTCAGCAGTTCCACTAGAGTCAATAGACCTTCTCACAAAAACATTTGTGCTCCAGTGAACTTCTGGATTGGGATCCCGATGTTTCTAAAAAGGCGGGTTGGGGTAGGGGGAAGTGTAAATCCTACTGAATGATATATATAAACAGACAGAAATACATAATTAGAGGTCATACTTATTTCTGTCCACACAAAATTACTCCTTGGCTATGGGTAAAGAATTCTGAGAATGTATTAGTAAAACAGTGTTTAAAAATTGCACAGTCCTAGAAAAGTTCCTGATTATATTTCCTGAAAGCAGAAGTGAACGTATTGCAAGTTTTCATCTACTAAACAATCCAGCAAGCAGCCACTGGGTAGCCCAACATTTGCTAAGCAATTGGCCTTAAAGATTTTCTCCTAAAACTATGACTGTTATTCATCATATTTTGAATTTCCTTCATTTATGAAACCTACAGAAGTGTTTTTTTGTTGTTGTTGGATTTTTTAATGTTAAGTGATGCTTGGTTTCTGGATGCCAAACAAATTAACTCTTTCCAGAAAAACTGTGCTTTATTGTGTATTTTTTCTTGCTTCCGTTTACAACCACGCTGAAAAGCACAGACACATTGATGAATCAGTTACACCGTTCTTTCTGACTACAAGTGTGCAGCTCATTTTTCTTACTGATGTGTTTCAGAAACACAGAAGTCCTCAAAACCCGTGATTTTGCAGTATTTGTAATCATTTATCAAAATGACCTGCTTTTTAGAGACCATTTCAAACATGTACATATGATTTATGATATTTAGATGTATTTAAAATAAATTCCCTGGAGATGTAACTTTTTACGTCTTGCGTGTCAAGAATAGGTAGGTTATAAAAGATGTTAAAACACTGGAAAAAAGAGTATTGTTTTCTTTTTGTGTGATTTGTCAATGAACAAAAACCAGCAGAACAGCTATTGAAACACTGGATTCCTGAAATGTTTTTGTAGGTTTAACAGCAGTGCTTCTATATGATACTATTGTAAATACAGTCAGAAATATGAATAGTTGTTATTACCTGCTAGGCTTTCCTTGGAAATTTGCGCCATATAAAAACATTTTTTCTATGTCAAACTTTAAAAAAAAAAAAAAAGCTTCTCATGCCTGGGGGGGTGAGTGTTTAATTACATTAGACTTTAACTGGAATCAAATTGACTTATAACATATATTTATCTATCGCAATTAAATGTTTGAAAAGCTGTAGCGCTTAGAAGGACTCCTTCAATGGTACTCAGCCTCCCCTGGTCTTTTCAGCACAATACGGGTATTTTTTTCGCCATAGTATTTTAGGGTTCCTTAAGGCTACCAGGTTCACTTCCTTTTCACGTTTCTCAGTAAACCTAGATCACTCTTTCTGTATAGGCGTTAATATGCTTTTCTCCTGACTGAAGTTTTAAGAAACCTCGGACCTAAGTAAGCCAAGCGAGCCAATCGCAGTTGTAATTTTGCATTCAATGTGTTCTGCATCGTCTAAGAATCAAAACCTACGCTATAAAAACCAGAAATAAAACAGCCTCAAAAGTCACAGGCAAGTAATGAGAAGGGGAGGCATTAGAAAAATCCAAAATATTCCATATAGAACAACTCGTACCACAAAGCAACAAAGCGCTCCAAGAATATGTTTTTTATACGCTCAGCATGGTTTACATCCGCACCTCATTAGCGTACAGATAATTCTGACCATTAGTGCGCTTTAAAATACGCGATTTTATTTGCAACCTATCCTCAAACTCAGTATCAGCTTTTTACTCCTACATCCTTGACGTACGCAGAGCTGAGTTACAAAGGCAAGGATGCAGATGCCATTAGTCACTGCAAAACGTTAACATCTAAAGATTTGTGTGCATCACTCCTCAACTCGCAGGCTAGTTTCCTGACCCACTTCTGGGCCTACGCAGGTTGAAAGGAATGTTCTGAAGATAGTGAGAGAGCGGCTACAAAACCTGGAGACACCGACAGCTGCAGCACGCAGGAGGCAATGACTGAGCAGGCAGTATTTCCCAGTCCTTTACAACAAGAACAGTTGGCAATTTCACCCTGTTCTGTAGCAGCCTATTCAGTATCTTCAAAGGCAGTTTCCCAAACTGCTTAAAACCTGGGTTAGGGCGAAAGAAAACTGTAAGTCAGACAGTTTTTGAAAGCACCGTGAAAGCCCATTTCACCTTGCTTGCTCAATCCCAAACAAAAGTATAAACGAGCATAGCAGCGTAAAGTATTTCTCTCCTCCCATTCCCCTGCAATATGTGAATTCCAGTGAAAAAGAGCAAGCACGGGGACAAACACACAGTTCATCATCCAAAATTTTGCTCGCCCTCTGGATTTTTGGTTATCATTTTAAAAAGTTACACTCCCACCATCATAGCAAACGGGTAAAACGGGGTATCTCTGCTGGTACATTCTGGGAGTATTTGCGTGGCTGGGCAACAGCTACTAGTTTGAGAGATCAATGATCCAGGCAATGTTCACGTTTCACTTTCTTTAAACTATCTGTAAACTCTGCTTTATGAATCAACGTTCCTGATCTTAAACACTCAGAAATAAAAGCAGAGTAGAGCAAGAAAGGGGTAGCCTAAGGTTAATTCAGCTCTGAAATGCGGAACAGATTCAGTGCTCAAGGAAACACTGAACATTCTGTGGCTTGAAGTGATATGCTTAAGAAGAGGAAATATATCTGTAAATAAGCAAGAGCATTAATAATTGTCTCAGAATTCCGGCACTGAAACTTACACGGTCTCTCTTCACTTCTTAGTTATTTACTATTACGATTTTATACAAACACCTATTGAAGTAGTTCCAAGTGTGATAAATATGTCTCCAAAACGTGGGGAAGGCGTGGACGAAATTCTTTTGAGTACAGTAATTTGCTTAAAAAAAACCAGATCAATGAGAAATAAAGGGTATGGTTTTTAATCAAATGAGGGGCAATTATGGATGACAAATAAGAAATGTGGCAACTTAAAAATAGTTCTTGCTGCCATACATTAGAAGGGCATTAAATATCTAGCACCAGAGCCCAGGATTAATAAAGGGGTGGGGTTAAATGTTCAGTCCAAAACTCAGGCTTTTCCCAAAGAAAAACCATAGATACAGCAGCTACCCACTTGCTGGCAAAAGACGCCTATTTTCAGTTTGACAGATTCACAGTCGTGTGAACGGCCGTAATATTTTCCTCTTAGTGGAAGGGATGAGGAAGTAGTTACCTGCCTTGAGCTTCAGAAAGCCTTAGGAAGTGGGGTTCGGAGCACAGCGCAAGATAAGCGCAGCCATGGCTAAAGGCTCGAACCCTCTCCCACCGAATCCAGTGGAAGACTCCAGTCACTTCAGGGCAAGGTTTGGGACGTTCCCCACTGTCTTTTTTTTGGTTTGCATCGCAAACTGCAATAAACAGAAAGCGATACAGATACTTCCCTGATAGTGAAAGGGAACCATTTCCTTTTTTCCTTGAACTTTAAATAGACAGGCAAATACAATGAATCCTTTACACTGACAGGCATCCAGTTATTTTCCCAGTAGTAATGGGGACTCGAATTTTAGCATTGCTCGTACACCTCACGAAATCAGAGAATTTCTTTCATCTGGTAAAACATAATGAAGATGCAACCACAGATTTCGCTACCAGTGCTTTAACTAAATACGGCTTTTAATCTCGGAAGAGTTTTCAGCCCATATACAAGCTTGTGTAAGACGAAATTCAGTTAAACCCGTCCTGAACTGATGTAAATGTTTCTTAATGTAACTGACAATTAATAAAATGGTGATATCCTTGAGGGTTATTTATTAAAACAGATTCTGTTGCTTACCGCTTTACCGAGCTCACAACATTTTGAGTGAAAGAGGTCACAGTTTCAGTTCTGAACTTCATAAATATCTGGAAAAGCCTTTCGCTTTCTCTTCCTCGATAACAAACAATTCGCTACGCCTGCTTGTCAGTTTTCAAACTGTTGAGCTCTCTCTTTTTCAAGTGCCTCCGGCCTCTCTCAGTATATTTTTGATGACCCCCTGGTTTACGTGCGCTCTTAACGGAAGTGCCATCAGTCGCGTTCCCTTCGCCAAGTGGCTTTTGTCAGAGCGGGACTTCGACAGGCTTGGCCAGTTTAAAAAGCGGAGATTATGTCAAGTTTTCTCGTGCGCTCAGCGATGCCAGATCATCGCCCTGGAATGACTGCGGGTCTGTATGTTTTTACGCTCGTCTTTAAGAACTGCAGTGATTTCTAAAAGCCAGACAGCTCCTTCTTTCCCTCCGCCCCCGCCAGCAGCAAACCGAAGAGGAGCAGCTTTCGAAAACCCCGATTCACCCGTCGGCTTCACAGACCCCGAACGTTGCCCCCTGCGCGCCGAGGACGGGGTGCAGCGAGGCGTGGGCCCCTCCGCCGAGCCCC